TTTTGAATTTCCCCCCTGTAGAAGGACAGGCCCGACTTAATGGAAGGAGGAAGAAGACGACACCGAAGGAGGCAGGATGAGAAAGGAGGGCGGCGACCATTTTCCAGTGGCACGTCATGTCTCTCTGTTCATCATCAATGCAGAAAACAAGCGAGGCCGACCTCGCTCGCCTGATTCTCCGCTTCCTTCCTGCGTTCATTCGTGCGGGAGCTTACCGCTTGAAAGCGCGCCACCAAATCTTCGGGCGGCCCCCGGGAAAAAGAAACCAAGGCTGACCTGAATCCCATAGGACGTCATTCCGCTGGACCCCTTGCGGCCTTCGACCATGGCGACGCTTCTGCAGTTCGCAGCCCCCTCTGGGATGGTGTGCTCGAGTCTGAATCTGCGGAGGGCGTCACTTGTCTGGATCCCCGAGCAGCCCTCGAAAGTTGCGACAGCTTCGCAGTTCGCACCAAGGATGGTGAGGTCATATCTGAATATGTGTAGGACGTCACTATACATGACCCCCCCAGCAAGCCTCGAACGTCGCGACGGTGTCGCACTTCGCAGCCCCCCCAGGGATGGGTAAGCTCTAATCTGAATCTGCGCAGGACGTCACTATGCTGGACCCCCAGCAGCCTTCGACAGTGGCGACGGTGTAGCGATTCGCAGCCACCCCCGAGGGATTGCGAGGCCCAATGCGGATTCGCGTAAGACCTCACAATGATGGACCCCTCAGCAGCCATCGAAAGTGGCGATGGTGTGGCAGTTCGCGGACCCCCATGGATGACGAGATCCCATCTGAATATGCGCAAGACGCTATTCAGCTGGACCCCCGGCAGCCTTCGAAAGTGGCACAGTTTCGCCGGTTGCAGCCCCCCACGGATTGCGAAGTCGAATCTGAATCAGCCAGCCCCTCGAAAGTGGCGACGGCTTCGCAATTCGCAGACCCCCAGGGATGGTGAGGTCGAATCGGCATCTGCGTATGACGTCACTATGCTGGAACCCCGAGCAGCTCTCCAAAGTTGCGACTTCTTCGCAGTTTGCAGCCCCCCAAGGACGGCGAGGTCTCATCTGAATCGGCGCAGCATGTCACTATGCTGGACCCTCCAGCAGCCTTCGAAAGTAACGACAGCTTCACAGTTCGCAGCCACACCCAGGGATGGGTGAGGTCTAATCTGAATCTGCGTAGGACGTCACTTTGCTGGACTCCCAAGCAGCCCTCGAAAGTGGTGACAGTTTCACAGATCGCGCCCCTTCTGTGGATGGTGATGCCAAATATGACTCTACGCAGGACATCACGAGGCCGGACCCCCAAGCAGCCGTCGAAAGTGGCGACAGTTTCACATATTCGCAGCCCCCCCAGGGATGGTGTGGTCGAATCTCAATCTACGTAGGACGTCACTAAGCTGGACCCTCGAGCAGCCCTTGAAAGTGGCGACAGCTTCGCAGACAGAGCCCCCCCAACGATGGTGAGGACGAACGTGAATCTCCGTAGGACGTCACTTTGCTGGATCCCCCAGCAGCCATCGAACGTGGCGACTGTTTCAGTGTTCGCAGCCCCCCAGGGATGGCCAGATCACGTAGGACGGCGAGGTCGGAGACAGGCTGGCAGGCAGGACAGGAGAGGCAGGCTCACAGGCAGAACAGGAAGAGGAGGTGAGAGGCAGGAGGGGGGAGAGGAGGGGGGAGAGGGGGAGGAGTGCTCTATTTCAAAAGAGTCCCAGGTGAGACCTAGATGGCCTCGTTGTTGCCCAACACGGCCAAGTATGGCCACGTGACAGCCCGATGTGGCCCCAAGACGGCCCAATTGGCCCCGAAGACAATCCAAGAGGGCTCGCGTAAGAGAGCGCAAGGGCGCCCAAAAGATCAATCCCCGCAAATTCGCTTAAACGGGATTTCGAGATGTAGTCGTTCCGGATTCGCTCCCACGGCCAAGTGCGCCCAAAGGTGCTTCCAGGACACCCGCAAAACGGACCGAAAAGGCCCCCAAGAGAGCCCCAAGACGACCCACGAGGACCCCGTGATGGCCCGCGAGGCCCCCCCGAGACGGCCCCACGAGGGCCCCCCACACGTGCCGAGAAAGCTCCGATGCACCAGCGCACACCCAGAGATTTTCATTCCCATAACCGCCCCCGAAGGCGCCAAGCGGGCCGACAGACCCACAAGACAGTCCAAGAGAGCCCAAGAGGGCCGAGGGGACCCCCAAGCAACCCCAAAAGGAATCCTCAGGAATCCTCAGGAATCCTCCAGGAGTCCTCAGGACCCCAGGCCCCCAAAAATCCTCAGGAATCCTCCAGGAGGACCGGGTGACAGGCTCGGCTCCGCTGGCCGACGCGACCTTCCCAGGTGGGCACGGGTGCCGTCCCGTCGCAGCACCCCCGAAAATCAGATGCCCAGAAAAAATTGGGGCGGCCGGTTTTCGGCCGCTGCGGCCTCGGGGGCCCCTCGCCAGGCTTCGGGACCACTAAGGAACATGTCAGGACGAAAAACTGGCCCTGGGCAGTAGTCCACACTTTCGGGAGCCACACATCGAAAACATTGAAGAGGCTGGACGTCTGGGCTCGTCCCCGATAAAGGGATTTCGTGGGGTGGCCGTCTCACCCCGTCCCAGCAAGGGTTGGGGTGCCTCCCGCCCACGGGCCCATGGAAGCGGTAGACCCTGGAATCCACGCGGTGGAACACCAACCTCCGGAGGTTTGGGGTTTCGTACGTGGGGCCTTGGAACATGAACCTCCAGAGGTTTGGGTTTCGAACCTCGGCACTCGGAACACGACGGGGTCTTGTGCCGCGAAACTGGAACCCGAACCTTCTGACGGCCAGTTCGGTTGGCCCAAACCATCACAAAACGAAACAACGCTAAACAGAAACTGCTATAAGCAAAAAGCCAGAAATACATTCATAAGTAAGGAAACATGCAGACATCAAGGGAAGCAGGGAGGGTCGAGCACCAACCTCCAAATGCTCGGGTTTCCAATGTGTGGGCTTACACATACATACAGAAACAAACAGGCAGCTGAGGAGCCATACGGAACCATGTTTCCATGGAGCGAACAGTCGCACGAAACATTGGTAGCCATAGAAAAAATAGTTGGGAACGTGGTGAAGAAACACGCATAACAAGCATGGGAACAACATCAGATGCGATTTGCGGAAACGTTGGAGTTCGACGCGTGCAGCGTTCTTAAAAAAAAAGAATTCGCACGCACATCAAATTCAAAACCAGCCGCGTGAAGTCACATTGGACGCTGCGCGCACGCCGAACCGGCGTGGCCACAACAAGTGGCAAGCATTGTGCGACGTTTCGAACGCACGGGCGGCAGGGGCGGCAGCCCCTGCGTGCTCGAGCCACCGTGAAACTCCCCGACGCCCTATTGAAGATTAAACAGCGCGGGTGTTTAATTGGTAGCAGCACATGCATAAACTGCATCAGCTTTCGCACCCAATGATTCCCCATGGAAGCCTCTGGCGGTGTCAAAGTGTCCCGTAGCCCTCGGCGCCGAGCTCATGCACGCATCTCACACGGTCTCAAGACGCCGAACCCAATCACGAGTCTCACACGGTTTTACGATGTTTCTAAATGCCACGAAACCTTCGGCGCCGAGCCCATCATCGCGTGTCACATTGCATCAAAGGGCCGCGCAATCCTTGGCGCCGAGCGCCCCCGCGAGTTCCACGAGGGGCTCAAAGAGAAAGAAAGGCTAAGCGCGCGTCTCGTACGGTTTGACATTTCCACGAAACCTTCGGCGCCGAGCACATCCGCGTGTCTCACGAGGTCTCGCATACCACGAAGCCATCGGCGACCTGCAACCGCAGGAAGAAGCCGAACGCGCGGCCGAAACGGCGAGAGAACTAGTCCTTGGCCGGCGGTGGGGCGAAAGGCGCATGTCCTCCTCGTCCTCGCGGTCGACGTCCTCGTCGTCGCCGTCGTGGTCGTCGAACTCGTCGCTATCGCCGTCGTCGTCGTCGTCGCCGCCGCTGCCGCCGCCGCAGCCGCAGCCGCAGCCGTCGTCGTCGTCGCCGTCACACGACACCATAATCGTCGCCGTCGCCGTCGACTAAGCACGGACGGCACGGCACAACAAGGCACGGCATAATTTTCGCGTTCTGCAGGTCAAGTCTCGCAGTCTGGAAACCAAACACGACACGGCACGGCGCATGTGCCCCAGAAGCCCTGACCTCCGGAGGTTAGTGGTCCAACCTCCCTCCTTCTCTGTTGTTCGCTGTTTCCCTATGGTTGGACTTGCTTCTTTCTGTGTGTCTCAATTTCTCCCTCTGTGGGGAAGTTCTGGGAGGTATGAAGCACTAACCTCCCGAAGTTCGTGTTCTAACTTATGAAAGGCAATGCCTGCTACAGCCACAGGTCCCCCAGAAAGGCCAAAGTACCTCCCAAAGTAGGTTTCGGAATAGGAATAGAAGTACCCACCGAGCCCAACAAGTACCTCCCAAAGTAGCCCCCAAAGTACCTTCAAAAAAACAAAAAGTAGCTCCCGACAGGTTGTTGGCATGCTACAAGTAGTCGAATGATTTTTCGGTCGTTCGTGCATCGGTCTTCATATTGTTCGCACATCATTTCTTATTGTTCGTTACACATGTCTTTACTTATTTCATGTTTCCAGCGACCCTTGAGGTTGCGTACTTCCCCCTCCAGGTTCCTAGGGCGCCAGAGAATATTGGGAACCGAATTTAGTTCTCAAGCCTGACAGGCCCCGCTGGGGCGGCGGATCGCACCGCATATGTGTCACGATGTATATTGCAGTTCGTAGTTCATGCCCCGCGTGTTGGCCACGTAGTTTACCCCACTTAGCTTGGGCACCGTCGGTTGCACCACATAGTTGCCTTTTGGATGATGTTCTCATCGTGCGATGCGCTATGGTTGCGCCTCAGAGCTACCGCCACGTAGATGGCCCCGCTTGCTCCACCACATAGCTTGCACCACATAGCTTGCACCACATAGCTTGCACCCCCCTCCCCCGCCCGTGCTCTCCAGCCATTTTGGCTTCCAGCCCCACCCCTTCGCCATGAGCGGGGGTGGGGTAGGGTGGGCCTCCGTGGCGGAGGCCGCGGCCGAGGCCGCCGATGGCGGCGCCTCGGGCTGGGCTGCCGCCGCCGCAGCCGCCGAGGCGGCCGCCGCCAGCCCGCCCGACGGCTGGGGCGCGCTGGCGGCCAGCGCCGCGGCGTCGGCGGAGAGCGCCGAGGGCGCCGAGGCGTTCTCCCACCACCTTCCCCCCTCCACTTCCCACCCTCCCCTCATCCTACTCCTTCAGGCGGAGGTTGCCGTGGCGGCTGCCGCCGACGGCGCTGGGTCCGCGGACGCGTTCGGCCACGCGCTGACGCCCGCGGACCTGGCGCCCGCTGGCAGCGTGGCTGCGCGGCGCAAGGCCCCTGGGGATGAATGAGAGGATGGATTGAGAGGAGGGGGAGGAGGAGAATGGGGATGCCGCCTTCACGGCTAGGGTGAGGAGGAGGATGGGGATGCAAGGTAGGATGAGGCGAGGAGGGATAGGAGGAGGAGGAGGAGGCGAGGGGAGGATAAGGTGAAGGGGGGAGAGGGAGGTGAGGGAAGGAGGAGGAGTGGAAGAGGCTGTAGCGGGGTTGCGGCGTCCGAGGCGGCGTGGCACCCGCTCGAGCATCTTCGGAAGCGGCTCCGAGATGCGTGGGGTCACCGCGTCGCTGCTGGTGGGCGTGAGCAGCCGCTGCCAGCCGCGGAGGCGGCGCTGGCTGCCGCCCGCGACGCGGTCGTCGACGAGGACGACTGGGCGCTCTTCGGGCCCAGCGACGCGGAGGAGCTGCTCGACGGGGACGCCGACGCCATCGCAGGCCCAGTCCCGCATGCCGACGCGGAGGTGGCCTTGGCAGCTGTGGCCCGCGCGCCAGTGCTGGCGCCGGCGCGGGCCCAGGCTCGAGTGGAGGAGCTCGCGCAGCTCGTGGAGCAGACGTGCGCGATCGCGGAGGCGAACTCGCGCACGGAGCGGGACTTCGTCGCAGCGGCGCAGCGTGGTGTGGTGCAGTACTTCCTGGATGAGAAGCGCACGACGCTGCCATTCCACCAGGAATGCAGCAACCTCGGCGTTGGCCGCCGCCGCGCTGATGGCATCCTGCGCGCTGTTGCCGCCGCGTGCGTGTCGGTGCAGAATCGGGACGTGTGCAGGATGATTCGCCAGTTGACGCGGTCCATCTTGGAGCGAGGTGGCCGAGCACTGACATGGTCAGAGAGCGTCAGGTATGATGAGACGCCGATGCACATGAGGCTCACGGACACCGAGAAGGCGGCGGCAGCAGCAGCGGACTCGGCCATGCCAGCGGCCATCGTGCCCGCCGACGGGCAGCCCAGGCTGGTGCCGATCAGCGCCAGCTGCTCGAGCTCGCACGTCGCCAAGATCTTGAACACTGAGCGGGTCTTCTCGATGCTGTACCACCTCCCCGACGTCGGGTACGTCGGCGTGCGCGTGCCGCTGGAGACGCCCGTCCAGTCGCTGAGCAGGACCACAGGCGAGGTGCTCTACGACGCGCTCAAGGCCAGCCGCCCGCCGATAGACGACGACGTGCTGCAGCAGTTCGGCCGACGACAGCGGCTGGTTTGCACGGACGGCGCGAGCGGGATCACCAGGATGGAGCGCAACTTCGCCCGTGAGGAGGCGGGTCGGAGCAGCACGTTGAAGGTCAAGTGCGAGGTGCACGTGGTCTTCAAGTGGCACGCGTGCGCGTTCCACCACGTGAAGGCCGACACCAGCTGCATGGTGCACGCGGCGAAGGCGCTGCGCTGGCAGGATGGCATGCGCTCGTTCAGGGCAGCGCTCCGACAAGAGCTGCAGGACACGTTGCAGTACCGCTGCGACATGCGGCCTTCGCCTGTGGACGTCGCCCGCAGCACCAAGTGCTTGGACCTCTTCTTGTCGGAGACGTCGGCCCATCGGCGACTTCGTCGCGTCGTCATCCTCTCGCTGGCGAACGGGGACTGGGCCAAGAGGCATTGGGTTCACAAGCTCGCGGCGCACCCACCCCCATAGCGCCCCCCCCAACCTCTAATGTGTAAAACGTGCGGTCTGCTCATAGCATGCAGCCGCCATTCTGGATGTCGGGTGTTCTATGTGTAGTTTTGGACGGCTTCCAGGCTCGACCGTGGCCTCGGGTGTTCGGGCGAGGGGTTTGGGCACCTGGGTCGCGGTAGCTGGGGGGGGGGGGGGGGGTAGGGGGTGGGCGCGCCATGAGTTTTACCCAAGGGGCTGTGTGGAGCACTTTTGCGACGGCTGCTGCATGTCCCGTGCCGATTGCGTGTCGAAGTTCACGACGCTCTTCGTGGCGGCGGTCGCGGCAACAGATCCAAGGGTTTGGCCGAGTTCGAGGTGGACGGGCTTCGACCACAGCGTCGATTGGATGGGCGTCTTGGAGTCGTGCCACGGCTTGCTGACCCGCGTCTTCCTCAAGTGGTCGCGCGTGAAGGTTTGGTGGTTTTTTGTTGGGGGGGGTGCATTTGATGTTAAAACCGTGCCAGTTGCGACCGAGCCATCGTCTAGTTCAGCCTCGTGCACCCCCCTCCCCCGCGGGCAATGTCCTACCTGGGTTAGGGGGGGGGGCAGCGCGAGGAGGAGAATGAAGGGAGGTTAGGCCAGCGTCGGACTGGAGGAGTGGGATGGGGGGGCAGTGAGGACGGCGTGAGGAGCGACGGCGACGACGGACGTGATGCCGAACATGATGACGGTATGGTGGTGGCGACTGCATCGGAAACTAGAAGTCACAGTAGGTGTTCGGGCTGGCCGCCCTCCCCAGTCGAACGCAAACCTCATCCGTTCCCGCCCAGTCCAGGGCTAGAGAGGGCCCTCGTGGGGCTCATGCGAAGGGGTGGCCGCTGGCACGTTTTTACTTGCACCCCCTTCGGCCTTCGAAGACCTACCAGCTCACGGACAGCAGCACGCTCGAGGACGCGCTGCGCTTGGAGAACCAGCCAGGCGTTGACATGGCGGGCCATGCCGCAGGTGGCGGCGCACCAGCGGCCAGCTCGGAGCAGGAGCCCGAGCGCGCCCCCTGCGGCGGCGCCCGCAAGACCAGCGCCGACGAGGATCGCAAGAAGGAGGACTCGATCCATCGGTATTGGGGCGCCAGGTGGTTGCACCATGGCAACGCTGGCGCGAAGCTCACGGTGATCAGGAGGGTCCTGGAGCCGCTGAGAAAGATCATGTCCAAGTACTTGGACCACGCTGGCGTCAAGCACGACGGCCGGATGGAGTACCTCAAGGTCCAGGCTGCGGCGGGGAGGTGCGGTGACTGCACCGACGAGCTGCTCCCAATGGTCGCCGCGTGCAAGCAGGTGTTCGAAGGCGAGTTCTTCCAGGACCTGAGGGCCCTCATCCTGACCGAGGGGCCGTGGGACATCATCACGCCTGGGCTCAGGACGCGTGACCTTCGCACGTTGGCGTTCGTGATGCTGGGCGAGATCGGCTGCCTCTGCCACGAGCTCACCGTCGTTCACTCCATGCACCCCTTCAAGATGTTCACGCTGCTGGGCGGGGGCGGGGGGAGCGCGGCCGACATCGAGAACGACTGCGACGACATGAAGGACGAGTGGAGCAAGGCGTTGATCGAGAAGTACGCGAAGACCGATCAGGGCTTGCTCAACCCAGACCTCAACGCTGAGCTGATGCACGCAGCCCTCAGCATCAGGCGTGAGACTTGCAGCATCGAGTCCAGCCGCGCTGCCATCCGACGGAGCCTCGCCGCGCTGGGCGTGCAGACCCACCCGATGCACATCAGGCGCCTGTCAGCACTGAGGACATGCCAGCGGTTCCGCACGCGGCGGCAGCGGCTGCGCAGCGGGCCTGGGCGTCACGTGATCAGGACAACGGTGCAGCAGGCGGCCAGCAAAAAGTTTCCAGCCAGGAGGCGCTACCGCGGCTTCGGAGGCGCTTGGCGGGCCTTCGTTCGACAGCAGACGCTGGGCAGGACGGGCTCCCCCGACTTCGCGGAGCTCGGGCGGGCGTACGCGGCGTTGTCCGCCGAGCAGAAGAGCGTGCTCATGGAAGTGGGACAGGCCGCTACCACAGCAGCACGTGCTGGCAATAAGACTCCGTTCGGAGGGAGCTCGCGCTCACTCGAGGCGCGGGCTAGGAAGGCTGACCTTGCGCGTCGAGTTCAGGACCTGTCAGAGAGCAAGCGCGCTGCGTTGCTGAACTCGGCCGGCGGGATTCAGGGCGACGTCGCAGTGGCCACCTACGACGGCATCATCGGCATCGCCTCGTCGAACCCCAAGCACCTCACGGAGATGGCAGACTGTCGGCAGCTTGAGCGCGCTGAGCGGGCTTGGCGCGCCTCCGACAAGGCCTTGATCAACGACGTCGTGTCGAAGTGGTGCTCGGAGGATGGCGCGGCGGCGAGGGAGAAGTGCTTGTCCCACGAGTCGGAGATCAAGGCGAGACTCAACGAGTTCCTCCCCGTTGTTCCTCCGCGCCAGGGTTTCCAGCTCTTCGAATGGGAGCCCGTGGGCGTCTTAGAGCGGGTTGCCAGAGGGCTTTCGGTGCATCGATCCATCATCCCCGACATCTTCGCCGCCCTGGCAAAGTACTGGGACGACATTCACGACACGATCGACCACCAGCCGCGCCCTGAGTGGGACGAGAACGATTGCAGTGGCAGTGGCATCTCAGCTTGTACGTTTGCAAGCATGTGCGTGTGCAAGGGCGCTGGGCTAGAGGTCCAGAAGTTCGTGGATCACTTCGATGCTGCTGTGAAGCTGGCGTGCCCAGTCGGGCGCATCAGAACAGAGAGCTTGGCCCACGGCTACATCTGTGTGTACGTCTTCGCGCAGCGCCAGCCTACTGACGACGATGAGGACATCGATGTCGCCACGAACGGCCTTGTCGAGCGGCTGCCAATCGTCGACGACATGTGGCTGCACATCGGCAGCCACAGCTTATCGCCATGGCGGTCGTGCTTTCAGACCTTGCGCGGCCCGACGGGTCCGATGCATCCGAGCATCGGGGTGAGCATCCATCGATTAGAGGCCACTGTACAGTTCGCGACGCCGTGGCAGGCGTTCAAAGACTTCGACAGGGATCTTCGGTGGTCTGTGTGCGTGTACCACATGGACGTGAGGGTCAGCCCGATCGGCACGTTCGTGCCGAACTGCGTCGATGTGCACTTGCTGGAAGATGACGAACAGCCAGGCGTCCCGACGTGCAGGGTCATCTGGAAGCCGCCGTGGGCGAAGTGGAGGAAAAAGCAGATCAAGCACCCTAAGAAGGACGCAGACGTGAAGTCTGGGTGGCACTCCATCGAGCCGATCGAGAACGTCAAGCAGGACTGCGACGAGGACCACAAGTCAGACGAGGACGATGGCGACGAACAGCCTGACCATGGACGCGAACTCCCTGGAGGCGACGCCGTTGCTGGTAGCGTTGATGATGCAGGTGGCGGCAGCGCAAGCGGCATGGACGCCGAGGACGGTGAGCCAGGGCCGCCGTTGGGCCCAGCAGAGTGGCGTTGCTTCGCAAGCGCACCCCCCACAAACAGCTTTCATGTTTTAGTGTCCTGTATGGGCCCCCATGCACGGCCGCTGGACATGCGCAAATCCTCTGGGGCATCGGTGTTAGGCTCTCCCTGGTGCCTGCGATTGGCACCTTCGGCCCTGTTTAGAGTTCAGGTGCGCTTGCGGGGTGGCGCCACCTTCTGCCAGCCTGGTCGGCGACCGTGGCTTCCCAGGTGACGTGGTCGACGTTCACGGTGAGCCACTTGTCGCGAAGTTCGATGGCAGTGGCGTGGAACCAGCTGGCGAAGCGCCTTCATCCTCTTCCAGTTCGTCTTCGGATGGTTCTAGTGACTCCGCCGACCTCCATGGCATCATCGACCCTGGGAGGTCGAGCGATTCTGATGGCGACCTTCCTGGCGGCGGCGAGCACTCTGCATCTTCTAGCGATGCCGCGCCGCCGCCGCCTCCGCCAGCGCCGCCGCCTGCTGGCGGCGCGCCAGTGGAGCCAGCGATGTACTTCATCGAGGTGGCGGGCGGCAGGATCGTCTACAATGCAAAGAAGAATGACATCATTGCAGAGTGCAGGAGCCCAGGACATGCGAAGTGCAGAAAACACAGGACATGCAATGCAGGAGCCAGGCCGCAGCAGGGGCGGCCCATCGGCTTCTTGGTCGCCTGGCTGCAGAGGCACGCCGACTTCGGGAGCCAGCAGACGCACGTGACGTGCAACTGGGTTTCCAAGGAGGTGCGGTCGGCTGCTCGGGCAGCGTTTCAGGGCATGGGCCCCCGCGCCGCGGACCTGCTGCTCCGCGAGAGGCCGCGCCGCCCTGGCGAGGACAGTGAGCCTGACGTCTGCCCTTGAACAATGTTTTTGTGGCGGCCATTGCGCCGCCTGGTTGCCCTCGCCGTCTGGGCGGGGCACTGCGCACTGTTGCCAGCTGTGGTCTGCCTTGAACAGCCGAAATGAATTGCAGCATACTGTATGACAGAACAGCCTCTAGGGGTCTCGCGTAACAATGCCAGCACATCCAGGAACGATGCAACGGATAACGTCTAGATCATGCGTGTAAACGGTCACGCTGCGAGGGGATTGGAAGAGAATGCTAGCATGGGCGTTGGGGGGGGGTGCCCTTCGAACGATTTCCGATGCGAGTTTCAGGCCGTCCACTGTTTGCTTGGGGCCCGCCTGCGGCCATCTCGGGGCCCGCGCGGGCCTGCGCAATTGCACCTGGTCGTTTTCTCTTAAGAACTTCGGGCGCCATCGGTGAAACGAGCGGGTGGTGATGTGCGTCACCTATTTCTGCTGCGAGCACTCTCCTCAACGCCACGGGCCCGAACATAAACAGCCACCCGTTGGAGAAGGGGGTGGGGCGAGGGGGAAGAGGAGTCGGAGAAGGAGGCGAGGGACGAGGAGGAGGACGAGGAGGAGGGACGAGGAGGATGATGGGGAGGATGATGAGGCCGAGCGCATGCGACAGATGCTGCGAGACGCCCTGTCAGACCGTCGCCACAGTACTCAGTGAGGCATGTCTCATGTCGGCTGCGCTATTTGAAGGCACCACCACGCGTCACAGAAGGTGCACTGCGATGTATGGTCTTGCTTTCGATGGTATCAGAACCACGTTGTAGGCTGTTTGGGTGTGCGTGCTAGAGTGGGCTAATTCTTGGGGTGGTGCTTCTTGGGGGTCTTGGGGGTCGTCTCGGGGCCACCTCGTGCACGCTTGGGCTCTAGGGCACGTCGCTAAGGCGTTCGTCTGACCCCTTGGGATTTGCCGCGGCCTCCTTGACAGTGGGGAGGGGGGGTCATGAGGCTTGCGCCAATCAAAGTTCAGCCACCCTCCCTCCCCCATGCCCTCATGTGCCAAACAAGCTTTGTGAGGATGTCACGGGCGCTAACTTGGGTGAAAAGTAGCAGCGTCACGGCCACCCCTTGCCATCCTTACGACATCATCGCGGCTGGCGCCGTCGCCGTCGTAAACTCACTCGTCGTCGTCGATCCCGCCGCCCTGCGCCCCCATGTCGGCGGGCGTTAAGCACGCCGCAGTAATGAGCACGTATACACAACATGAAAATTGAAAGCGTACACGTTGGTAAAACGTGGCGCGTTTCAGCGCGGCGGGGTTTTAAGCTTAAAATGTTGCGCGGTGGGCAGGGCGGGCGCTGGGCGCAGTCGCCAACAATGGCGCGTGCAGGTCTTCTCGCCGCGTCCTGGGGCGCGCGCTCCACGCGGGCATGTGGAATAGAGATTCTCTCGCGCCGCGCGTGGAGCCGATCGTGGACGTCGTCGCGGCTCGGCGCGCCCTGGGTTTGCGGGGCATGCGCGCGCGGTCGCCCAAGCTTGCGCAGTTCACGTGCTATGCTGCGCGCGTGGCTGCACGCGTGGCGTTCGCCTTCAGGGCTCGCGGGGCCAGTTCGTCTGGCGATGCTTCGGCGCGCGAGGTGGTCGCGCTCAGTTCGGCGCGCGGCTTTGCTGATCACCCACTGTGGGTCGCGAAAGTACAGCGAGAAGCTCGCGGCGCGGGGCCCCCGATGCACCGCGCTGCGCGCTCTCGTGCGCTGCGCATAACGCACCGCCCCCAATCGACGGTTTTGTCGGGGACGCGGGCCCGCCTGCCTGATCGCAACTTTCTGCGCCGCAGCGGCGGTCGCGTTCTGCACCGCGCTTCCGAGCCTTCCTGCGCGCACATCCGCGGTTGCGGTGGTCGACGGGCGCGGCGGGGCAATGAGGATACGGCTGCATGTGCAGGGGCAGAGGCGTGCGATTACGTCGTCGTTGTCGTGATCGTCGTCTCCACCCTGCCTGGCAGCAGGTTGGCGACGCCGCGCGCGTGGCCCGACGGTTCGCGCGGGCGGCCTTGCGCGTGCTGATGTGTGAGGTGGCGGCGCAGGGGGCGCGTGGCTGGTCAGGGTCAGGGTGCGTAGGCTGTGGGGGCTGCGCAAGTGCGGGGCCTCACTGGCGATGCTTTCTGCGCTATGTGTGCACGGGAAGGCGTTCGCGGGCTCGGCCGCGCGGGCGCGGAAACGTGGGCGCGGCCCAGTGATCAGCCGCTGCGGCGAGCTCTCCAAGTGCGGGGCGTCATAGCCAGGATCAAGCGTGTCTTGTGCGTTGCGCAACGCAGAAGAAGCGCGCTCATTCTTGAATGGCGCAGCGGTTTGGGCGCTGCGCAATAGACGGCGCGGGCAGGCTTTGCAGGGCGAAGCGCCGCGGTCGAGCACCGCGAGGCGAGTCGTCGCGCGGGCGGGCCGCCGCGGGCAAGGCTCATGGGGCGCAGTTGGCGCGCTGCGTTTTGGCGGTCGGAATTATGTCGCATTGTACATGGCACCCCTGCGTTGGCGTAGCGGGCTCTGTCGCGCGCGGAGGGGGGGGCGCGTTCTACCTCGCAGCAAACGTCGCCGCGCCAGGCGTCGCATATTGAGCGGCGTCGGGAATGGCTGGCGCGCTATGGCGCTCTTCTCTGGCGCAGGCAATTCGCTTTCTGCCGCTGCAGAACTCCTGACACGCTGCAATTTGGAGGTCAACAGTACGCGCCGCGCATGCCCCCCCCCCCCGCGCTGCGCACGCGAGCGGCATCACAGGTCAAAGCGAAACCACGCGGTGCGGCATCGCACGTTAGCGGGCGTGTGGTGGCCACGGGTAGCTGCACGCCTCAAGCAGGAAGTGCCAGTGCGGGGCTGGTCGTCGGTTGCCCATTGCGGGACGCGCCGCGCGCCGCACCCAACCCAGCAAGGAGCTCCGCCATAATCGGTGTGTCCACCGCAGCTCGAACCAGCCGCCGCGGGCGCCGTCGGCGGACGCACTTGCCGCCAACCCCCCGTCAGTGCCGCGCGCAATTATGAGAGCCAGGGGCAGAGATAGCGAGGCTCGTTGGCATTGCCAACATCGGTTGGCTCGGTGGGGTTTGTAGCGGGCGCATCGATGCGCCATGGCGCGGGCCCATCGCCCATTGCGCGATCGCGCGCTAGCAATGCTAGCGCAACGCTGGCGGGGCTGACGCTTGACCCCCACCCCCACCCACGCACACACGCGCGCACGCGCGCACGCGCAGCCGCCGCCGCCGCCAACTACGCGCGCCACCGTCGCCACCGCCACCGCGCGTTCGCTTACGCCGCGTGCCAGCTCCAGCTTCGATTGCTTAGTTCTGCATCGGGCCCACCAGCGCCCGATGCACTCCTGTGCGCCCGCGCCAGCGGCCTTTTGACCAAGTGCCCCAGGTCTTCGCCTGCAGCAGAAACCCCAAGGACGCAACTGCAAGCAAACCATCGCGGCGCGCAGCGCCGCCGCGCCCCATCGCGGT